ACGCCTAGTGTAGGGTTCCGTAGTTGCTCGTCGTCACCACAATATATTTTGGAAATTGTCTATTATTTAAGCAATTACTTCGTCTAAGTCACTTTTAATGTTTACTTCTAAGGATTATTTATTAGGTCAGAAATTTTCTAATACCTAAGATGAACGACTATTACTCTTAAACTTAAAAATGTATTTTACCCGTTATAATTTTCCCTAAAAAACAGAGTTTTTCAAATAATCAGTACATTATTGTACGGGCCCGGAGATGGGCAACTTGCGTAGACTTCATTCTCTTTATCACACTTGAACGGTGCTGAATTTTTTATAAAAAATAACTTCTTTTTTTTGAAGATGAATACTGGCATCTAACCGCACCAGTTAAAATAATTCAACCTCCTGTTAAAGCTAAGCTTATTTCGGTTTTGTATCTTGGCATCATTTACTATTTTATTCTAACTAATAAAAATACATAGGAAATAAAGCTCTAATAGGCCGATATCTTACTGGAAATTAATAATTGCAACTGTCTGTAAGTGTAGTAATCCACTAATATTTTTTGTCAATAAATCTAGACATCATTTAAATACTTACGACAGTTTGCGATGGGAATGCATTTGCCGGTTTTACGGTCGCGCCTTTCATTGGTGGCGCAGACGCATCTTCCCTTTCCACATTTCTTTGGAATCGGACAAGACTGCGGGTCGTCACTATATTTGGGACAATTTTCCGCATCACATTGTACTGGTGGACAGGGCGAGTATACCTCTCCTTTTGGACATGTTGGCACAGCTGAAAAAATATTTTTACATAATTGAAATTGAACTGAATAAAGTCATTTTTAAATCAGTATCTATTTAAAATAACTAGTTAATATATAGGTAAAAAAAAAACAAGCTAATTTTAAATTTCAGATTCTTCAGATGTAGCTTTGACGAATGAATGTTCTAAATCAGAAAGATTCATCAGAAGAAGAGATAAGGTCATCCCACTTCACTAGTCAGATGTTCAGTTGCATCTGCATTTTTATAATGCAACCAAAAATTAATGAATACGTTCTGATACAAAAAGCTGCCAAAGATCCTACAGTTTACTTACGACAGTCACACTCCTTCACACAGACTCCCTTTGGATTTCTGTAGTAACCTGGTTTACATCTACAAGCTGGCTTGCAGTTGGGGCCTGTTTTATTGGCTGGTATCATTGGGCAATGAAAGACATCATCTTTAGTAGCGCAGGTCTGGGGAGAGCAGTCTGGGCACTTGTCGTACACTTCATTAGGTTTTGGACATACGGCTAGAAGAAAGTGATTATTTAGCTATAATTCAATTCAAATATACAGAGTTCTTTATCATCGCTTAATAATAAATAAATATAAAATAAATAATTCTAATACTACACCGCCTTAGGTGGCGCGAGTAACCCTAGCCCCAAAGTAATCACTATAAGGCTTGTTTTAGGAGATAATATAATAACGGATAAAATACAAATAAACACCCTTGACTTAGGTACAAATTCCGTATTCACCATACAACATTTGCCTCACCAGAATTAAAGCCTGGGACCTCTGATTAGGCGACACTTTGAAACCGGGCGTGGAAACCACTCAGCCGCGGGGGTATAGAAATAACGAACTCAAAGCTTACACTAGTGCTACTGATATTAAAACCAAATCATAGTCGAATGTTGGTATGTGTATTTAGTTATTAAAACAGGAGTACAAGACTTATGTTTGTCTTTTTAGTGCTTTATTCACCAGATCGTTGAATTCCCAAATTAGTTAAAGTGGTGGTCATAACTTCATATTGAAGACAATCTTTTTATTATGTAGGACTATGCGATAAACAATTAATATTCAGAGTAAGTGATTAGAAAGAGGGAATTTACATTTGTAACAAACAATATTACGTAGGTAAATTGATGCCGAAAAAAACCACACTTACATGATGATGGACAACAATCCGGTTTAACGCATTTTTTGGAGACACTGTCGTAGTAATAACCCTTCTTACAATCACATCCGTTCAGTTTGCAAATTTTAGGGCATATGAGATTCGGGGTGACCACGTCAGAGCACTTCTTTCCGCAATTCGTAGCGCATCCAGGTTCTGCATTTTTATCACCGCCACAAGACGCTAGAATAAAAGATTAACTTATTAAGTTTAAATCGTGCATTGCCCGTGGTACAGTTGATATTGTCCGGTTGAGTAGATCATGGTTAAAATTTCTTACAGCAGTACAGTTAACCGTACAAATGGTAATTTTTCCTAACATTGTTGTAACAATTGCACAGTTAACCGGACAAGCGAATTTTTTTATATTGCACAGCCGAGTTGACCACCGATACCCCTGTTAGTTTATTATTACAATTAACCGGATTAGTCCGGTAAGGTAAGGTTCACTTGCACCCAATTTGCTAAATCTTTAAATTAAACTTTATTGAGCTCACACAAGCATGACGTTTTTGTATGGGTTAAATCTAGTTTCAGTTAATAGAGATTTAGCAAACTTGGAACAAGCGGGTTTTATGTAATCATGGCCATACCATTTCATCGTGTACCTAACTAACTACATGATGTAGTGGTATAGCCATGATTTCGAGTATTGCCATAGAGTTCGAGTATATAATCTTGGAGGTTAGCAGCTTGTTTGGGCTCAGCAATTCATTTTTTTCGGAGTCGGGAGTCCACGTCGCTCTTTCTCTGTCTATGGTTGTATTGTTGTATTTTTCTGGATATTAAATGGAAAATATAATCGAATAACGTTCATAATAAACCGTGATTTTGAGAGACAAATAGTTTTAATATATTACGAATGAAAAGTTATAGTATACCCGTGGCATTTCGACGACAGTAAGTGGAATTGCTGTATCTCTAAAATTGGCGAAGATGAGTTTTTATGCAATTGCGGTATACAAAAAAAAAGATGAATCGATACGTCTATGTCTCATCTTCTTACGGCTATTTTTATGTACATACAACGTTGAAATATGGAGTATTTTCTAAATTCTACTTTAAACTGCTGTGAATAATAAAAAATGAAAATAAAAAAACAGCTCTTTTTGAAAATAAAATAGATTCAGCCACAGATCAATAAAAATCATTGCTAATGCTGATTATAGCAAGATACAGCCTTTTTGCCGTAAGAAAAATTATGGCCGATAGAGATACAGCTAAGTTACTAACTACTACTACTACTAACATTTACTACATTTTCATAAAATAATTTACTAACTACAAATATATTAACACCATTCTAATATAGGTTTGTTTCTTAAACAGAAACCTACGCTTTTCTAGTTATCCCCACTCGCTTAGTGTGTTTCTTTGATACACCATTACGATCGCGTGTTAGTTGATAAGCGAGCGTTAAACTTGGCGTTGTTGCAGAATATTTTGTGTTGTAAAATGTTGTGTTTACATAAATAATTAAGAAGTTTCTTAATTGATTTTATTAATTGTTTAGATGATTTGATATTAAATAAAGTGATTATAAAATTAATATACTGTTAATGGGACCTACTCCGCAAATATAACTCTTCACACATTTTCTCTCACAGATCTCAGAAACAAGTTGTTGCGTTATATAGTCCTTGATATAATATCAATAATTTCTAAAATTTAAGTTTCTATTTTCATAAATATACGAGTTATGAATTTTTAAAAACTTCTTTGGCTCTGGTGTAAACTTGGATTTTTCGAGATAAAGCAGTGTCGCTCCTTCCGCGATTTATTCCTGAATAATTTGTGCACTTTTTAAAAGCATCGAATTTTAGTATTATCTTTTTAACACAGTATATCCGCAATATTGTTTTACGAGTGCACGTGGGGCGTGTTTTCTTGACAAATTGTAACTAAAGCGAATTGTGTACCTATGTCAATATACCTACCAACACAATTTATTGTTACTTTTAAAAGGGGTGTAAGCCTCCCGCCCATGGGTTCGTTATTATCGGTCGATAATATCGGATACGTTATTGCGATATTTCTTCATACTTATTTGGCACCGTTATTATTGCAGCAGTGTGTTACTTCGTAGTCGTTCGCATACATAATGCACTTAAAATACACTTATCAATCAGCATCCATGCCGTCTCAGCTGAGGCAATTAAGAAGAGCTGGAGATAAATAAATGATTGTCTATCATCCCATAATAGACAGCCATTGCGAAAGTTTCTTAATATCCACACTGATACATAAAATGCACTAGCTATTATCGAATATCGATTTCTCATACCTAGATAATGGACAATTGCTAATCTATAGATATATTTTAATTAAAATCACTATAAAATCTACATTAATTTAATTACGAAAATAATACTTACGGCATTCCTTTCGTGGTACACACTTTCCTGTCTTATCCTTTACTTTGCCGTCTTTGCAAACGCACCTAGGTTTGCATGAACATAAAGATATATTTCCACAATTGGGTTTTGGATAACCAACTTCATCACATGTCACGGGTTCACAGGATGCCTCCGGACAATCACAGTATTCTTCGCCGACCGGGCAGGTTGGAACTTTAAACAATCGAAAAAATCATTGTAGCCCACTGTACTTGTGATTTTAAAGGGTAAATAAATCAGGATCAATCTACATAGAAATACAATGAGAATATTATTTAGGTAGGTACTATTCATTGACGCAAGTAATGAAGGAAAAGGGATGGACAAAAAAATACTATTTACATGTACAAAAAAGTTTTGAAAATCAGTCACGGGATGCAGAATCCCGGCACCATCGAAGGGTAAGGACGGTTTTTCCCCTAATCTTTTCAATCTTGTATCTGACAAAGTCCATTCGAGTAGGAAGAAAACACCTCGGTTCCTTTGCACGTTGGCGCTTAAATACCATGCAATCTGTGTTTCTTTTCAAAAATCAATGTTTTCTTTTTTCAGGTTAGTGTTTTAGTTGCAAAATTCCGTGAAAAAATTAAAAAATTTCGTTGTAACAACTTGTGACAGCGATAATATGCAAACAAAAGGAAAAGGCATCTCATGAAACACTTACTGCATTTGTCTGCTGTGACGCATTTTTTTGTTTTGGTATCATAGTAGTAGTTTGGTTTACATTCACATCCATTTATTATATACACTTTTGGGCAAGCCGTCACATTCTTGCCTATATCAGCACAAGTGCGCCCACAGTTGCCACGGTTGCTAGGAATTGCATTCTCGTCACCTCCACATGATGCTAAAAGAGATTACGTGATTTAAATTAGCTCTGTGGTTTAGGTAATTGACAGAAATTAATAAAAATTGGGTTAGCGCAGTAAATCCGTAAATCAGTATTTAGATATGAAAAGTTTTTATTTTAAGGGTAATTAATTGACTCAATATTTCTTCCAGATATTAATTATTTCAGATATCCTTGATATATTAAAAAATGTAGTAAATACCAAAAGTTCGTGATTGAGCTAAGCTATGAGCAGAGGACAGAAGAACAGCACGAAACAATAAGGGTTCCTAATAACTTAAAATGGAATATAGATTGTAAATTTACGTATTTGAATGTGACAATTTACTGTATTTCAGTAACACTTTCAAACTACTTCCTTTAAAAAATCAGGAAGAGTCTTGTGTTTTCTTCAAGATGTTTAATAGATAACAACAAATGCATTCTAAGTCATCTGTAGTATGAGGTCTTATTCTTTACTTTTATCATGGGATTCTATAACTGTTAATCATTTTCTCACCAAATAGCACAATCTATTAAGTTCCCTAAGTGCCGAAACTTATCTGTACGACATGACCACCTTATTACAGATATAACAAGACATAGCAAGTTATGAAGAGTACGTGCACAGCGAGACGTCTAGAACAGTTTGAATTATGAACTATCTAAATATGTATCTATAAGTGTTATTTCACATGGATTGGTTAGTTATAAGTCATTTGTAAACGATTTCTTGTTATTATGTTAAAATAAGTTATAGTTTTGTTATAATAGAGGATTCAAAGTAAGAAATTCCTATAAATGGTTGCCACGGCGACAAACCACCACAAAAATAAAAATAAAACTCACGGCATTCGTTTGAATCTACGCATTTTCCATCCTTGTTCCTAAGTTTTCCGTCTTTGCAAATGCACCCAGGTTTGCCAGGACACGAAGAGCTGTTCCCACAATTAGGATTAGGGAAGCCTGCCTTGTCACAAGTCAAAGGACTACAGGATGCGTCAGGACATTCAGAATATTCTTCGCCGTCTGGGCAGGTATCATCTGCAAATAAAATAAAACAGAGTATTGTTATTGTTTTAAACATAAAAATATCAGCCAAATGTTCCGTTTTATTTAATATCATTGCCTTACCTTTACATTGTTTACCACTAACACAATTGCCTTTCTTATTTCGGTAAGTGTCTTTCTTGCATATGCATGCTGGACGACAAACAATTGTATTGTTCCCACTGTTGTCACTGGGACAAGTTGAGTTTTTCAAATAATCAGTACATAATTGTCCGGGGCCCGGAGATGGGCAACTTGCGTAGACTTCATTCTCTTTATCGCACTGGAACGGTGCTGAAATTTTTATAAAAGATTAACTTATTTTTTTTTTGAAGATGAATTGATGGCATCGAATGAGTGGCATCTAACCGCACCAATTTAAATAATTCAAGCTCCAGTTAAAGCTAGGCTTATTTGGGTTTTGTATCTTGGCAACATTTATTATTTTATTCTAACTATTTATTAGTACATATAATTATGATTTTTATATATTTTTAAAGCATTTAACTGCTAGATGTTTAAATCTAAAGAAAAGTTTACTAGAAAAAAATCTCCGCGGACCAGGCAGCGGACGGGACAATTTTTTTCTAGTAAACTTTTCTTTAGTACATTTAATATATAGGAAACAAAGCTCTAATACAGGCCGATCTCTTACTGGAAATTAATAATTGCAACTGTCTGTAAATGTAGTAATCCACTAATACTGTTTGTCAATAAATCTATCACTTATATACTTACGACAGTTTGCGATGGGAATGCATTTGCCGGTTTTACAGTCGCGCCTTTCATTGGTGGCGCAGACGCATCTTCCCTTCCCACATTTCTTTGGAATCGGACAAGACTGCGGGTCGTCTCTATTTTTGGGACAATTTTCCGCATCACATTGTACTGGTGGACAGGGCGAGTATATCTCTCCTTTTGGACATGTTGGGATTGCTGAGAGAATATTTTTACATAATTAAAATTGAAATGAATCAAGTCATTTTTAAATTAGTATCTATTTAAAATAACTAGTTAATATGTAGGTAAAAAAATCAAGCTTATTTTAAATTTCAGATTCTTCAGATTTAGCTTGTGTTCTAAATCAGTTCTAAGTAAATGTTCTAATTCAGAAATAGGGTCATCCCACTTCACTAGTCAGTTGTTCAGTTCCATCTGCATTTTTATAATGCTACCAAAAAATAATGAATAAGTTCTGAAACAAAAACCTTCCAAAGATCTTACAGTTTACTTACGACAATCACACTCCTTCACACAGACTCCCTCTGGATTTTTGTAGTAACCTGGTTTACATCTACAAGCTGGCTTGCAGTTGGGGCCTGTTTTGTTGGCTGGTATCATTGGGCAATCAAAGACATCATCTTTAGTAGCGCAGGTCTGGGGAGAGCAGTCTGGGCACTTGTCGTACACTTCATTAGGTTTTGGACATATGCCTAGAAGAAAGTGATTATTTAGCTGTAATTTAATTCAAACTTACAGAGTTCTTTATCATCGCTTAGTAATAAATAAATATAAAATAAATAAATAATCCTAATACTATACCACTGTATTGGCGTGAGTAACCCTAGCCCCAAAGTTAGCACTAGAAGGCTTGTTTTATGAGTTACTATAATAAGGGATAAAATACAAATAAACACCCTTGACTTAAGTACAAATTCCGTATTCATCACTCATCATACAACATTTGCCTCACCAGAATTAAAGCCTGGGACCTCTGATTAGGCGACACTTTGAAATCCGGCGTGGAAACCACTTAGCCACGGGGGTATGGAAATAACGAAATCAAAGCTTACACTAGTGCTAATGATATTAGAACCAAATCACAGTCGAATTTTGGTATGTTGTAAGAAACTGAAATTTTAGTTATTAAAACAGGAATACAAGACTTATGTTTGTCTTTTTAGTGCTTTATTCACCAGATCATTGAATTTCCAAATTAGTTAAAGTGGTGGTCATAACTTCAGATTGAAGTGAATGTTATTATTAGGTAGGACTAAACGATAAACAATTAATATTCTGAGTAAGTGATTAGAAAGAGGGAATTTACATTTATCACAAACAATATTACGTAGGTAAATTGATGCTGAAAACAACACTTACATGATGATGGACAATCATCCGGTTTTACGCATTTGTTGGAGACACTGTCGTAGTAATAACCCTTCTTACAATCACATCCGTTCAGTTTGCAAATTAGAAGGCATATGGGATTCGGGGTGACCACGTCAGAGCACTTCTTTCCGCAATTCGTAGCGCATCCAGGTTCTGCATTTATATCACCGCCACAAGACGCTAGAATAAAAGGTTAACTTATAGAGTTTAAATCGTGCATTGCCCGTGGTACAGTTGATATAGTCCGGTTGACTAGATCATGGTTAAAATTTCACAGTTAACCGGACAAATGGTAATTGTTCCTGAAACTGTTGTAACAATTGCACAGTTAACCGGACAGGCAAAATTTTTTATATTGCACAGCCGAGTTGACCACCGTACATCTGTTAATTTATTATTGCAGTTAACTGGACTAAGGTAAGGCTCACTTGCACCCAATTTGCTAAATCTCGATTTAAATTCAACTTTATTGACCCCATACAAGCATGACGTTTTTGTATGGGTTAAAACTAGTTTCAGTTAATAGAGATTTAGCAATACGTCTTTCTAGCTATCTCCAATCGCTTAGTGTGTTTCTTTGAAACTTCTATAAAATAATAAAAAGTAATGGAATTGAAATAAAACTGTTCTCAGTCTTTTCTTCAAACAGACTCGGATTTCTTTACTTTATAAGAAAAATAACTACCTTCGAAATTATAAATATTTAAAAAACACTATTTATTCAATTCAATTCAAAAGTCATTTATTCAGTTTAGGTTATTACAAGCACATGTGAAAGTCGAAAACTACGACATCGGTTTGCAAAACTACAGCGGGAGACCTTGTACTGAGAAGAACCGGCAAGAAACTCAGTAAGGGCTGCTCTTTTCTCCCTGTTTTATTTCATGCTGATTATTTAAACCAAAATATCAAAATAAAGTATAAAATCTTTACTCAAAAATAACTAATTTTCTTATATTAATTTATAAGATTAAAGAAGTAATTTCTATATTAAATGTCAAAAGCATATTATTATGTTATAACTTACAATAGTAAACAATAATATCATTCCAATAAAAGTTATAAACAACAATAGGAAAATGATTACTTAATTCACATGACCCTGGCTGTTTAGTCTGCACACTAATATCTGAAGACTCGCTGATAAAGTAATGAATATCAAATCAACAGACATCTGAATTTATACTTTAGACCCATCCTCCTCAAACAAGTTATTAGTGGCGCCATTTTTTACAATATAATTATTAAAGCCTATGGTAGTCTAATAATTTCATTATATACTAACATAAATCTCTTTAAAATATTCAAAGAAAATTATCATATTATCAGTACAACAAAACATTGCTCCTTTCTTTAAAAGAAAACAAAAACGTAGGTCCTTATGATGGGCAGCAATGTTATCATCCAATCACAGTTTGTATTCTATTTTGTAAAATATTTTCTTATCCAGACTAGAAATACGTAATGTATCTAATACAAACTTTCTTAAAAGTGATAAGGAATCTGTTAAAGGTTTTTCATGATTTAATAAAGCTTTGATACACATTTATAAAATAAAAGCATTTTGGCTAACAACTCGATGGTCGAGACTACTTAAGGTATTCGCAAACGCCTGACATCACGTTTTCGATGTCCCATAATGTATTTATTACGTAACTATTTCTAGTATCTTATAAAGTGTTTATTTTTAATAATAAGAAAGAAACCCTTAAGCGTAATTCCCTGTCAAGCGTGTCAGTTGTTAAGCGACCGTTAAACTTGGCGTTGTTGCAGAATATTTTGTGTTGTGAAATGTTGTGGTTACATAAATAGTAAAGAAGTTTCTCAATGGATTTTTTAATTTTTGTACATGATTT